GCATCTCCTTTCCAGTCCTCATTGAGTAGATCCCATTCATGGTGCCCGTGTGGGTCAGAGTAGAACTGTGCTCCACAGGGTTCTCAGTGGGTGATTTTTCATAAGTAGATTCCACTCATGGTGCCCCCATGTGTCAGAGGAGAACTGTGTCCTACAGTATTGTAGATTCCACTCATGCTGCTCCCCATGTGTCAGAGGAGAACTGCACTCCACAGGGTTCTCAGTGGATGCTTTTTCATAAGTAGATCCCACTCATGGTGCCCCCGTGTGTGTCAGAGGAGAACTATGTCCACAGGGTTCTCAGTGGATGCTGTTTCATCAGTAGATCCCACTCATGGTGCCCCCGTGTGGTCAGAGGAGAACTGTGCTCACAGGGTTCTCAGTGCATGCTTTTTCCTAAGTAGATCCCACTCATGGTGCCCCCGTGTGGTCAGAGGAGAACTGTGCTCACAGGGTTCTCAGTGCATGATTTTTCATGAACAGATTTCACTCATGGTGCCCTCATGTGTTTTTTTACTGGAGCTGACATTGCAGATCTTTTCTCCCACAGGTTTCCTAAGCAGGTTCGAACCACTGACATGTTGGTCAGCATCTTAGCATGTAACCATTCTGCCACCAGGGTTCCTTGTATAAACTGCATAATCCCATATATTGTTGTTGTTAAGTGCTGTCAAGTTGGTTCTGACTCATAGTGACCCAGAATACAATTTTCAAGAGTGGCTGGTGAGCTTGAACCACCGGCCTTGCAATGTAAGCCACATTAATCCACAGCCCCACACCAGAACTCCAATCCTGTATATGCTGGTTATGTGCTGTGGAGTTGGTTCCGACTCATAGCAACCATGTATAAGCTTTCCGAGGAGACTGTAAATCTTTATGGGAGCAGATAGCCTTATCTTTCTCCCATAGATCTGCCGGTAGTTACAAACTGCTGACCGTGAGATTAGCAGCCTGACTCGTAATCACTACATTACCAGAGCTCTTAATAATCCAATATATAAGACGGCATAATTAAATACACTTGAAATGGTTTTCAAGACCTCTTTCTACACAGTAGGCATTGTACTGAAATCTCCCTGTGGTCCCCTGAGTAAGGATTCTTATTTAAATTCAATACAGGTAGTCCCTGGAATACGAACAAGATATGTTATTAACGGTATCTTTAAGAGTACGTAGGTCCCTCAGTATAGGTGCATATGGAGCTCTGGTAGTGTTGTAGATTAAGCATTGGGCTTCTAGCTGCAAGGTTGGTGGTTCAAATTCACCAACTGGTCCGAAGAAGAAAAATGAGGCTGTCTGCTCCCATAAAGATCAACAGTCTCTGAAATACCAGAGAGGGTCCCTAGGAGTCAGAATCAACTTGATAGTAGTGGGTTAGGGTTAGTTGGTTGATGTAGAAGGCTAGAAGGCTTTTAAATAATTCACCAACTGTGCACACAGGTGGTTGCAATGAATTTGTTGTGAGTAGAGGCTGATTTAAGGAGCCATCATGGCTCAGTGGGTTAAGCATTGAACCCCTCAGCTGCTCTCTTGGAGAAGGATGAGGCAGTCTGTTTGCATAAAGATTTACTGTCTCAGAAACCCTTTGGGGCAGTTTGCTCTATCCTACAGCATCATTATGACTCAGAATCAAACCAATGTGTTTGTCTTGTGGTTTTGTTTCACTTTGTTTTGTTTTTTTAATAGGGGTAGGTTCAATCAGTTCAAAGTGAAGGCACATTTACAAAACGTTGAAGGGCAAGTAGGCATTGTTCATAAGTCAGACATTCATAGCCTGGGAATGTCCATCCTAAAAGTTCTCAGGTGCATTTCCTAGGGGGTAAGGACACACATTCTAGAATCCTGGCCTGGTGTTTCCATTTCTTACAATTCATAAAAGCACATAGGTCATTTTATGACTAGGTAGGCGTTACTGTCATCATCTGGAGTGTACATACAGGGAAAACAACATGCCCAGCTGTGGTTTCATTTGCTCTAGAATACAGCTAGTGAGTCCTGGTCTAGCAACACTTAAGCGCTCTGCTACAAACTGAAAGGTGGGAGGTTCAAGCCCACTCAGTGGCAATCTACTTCCGTAATGATTGCTGCCTCAAAAACCATACAGGGCAGTTCTATTCTGTCTTAGGTGACAACTTGAAGTCAGAACAGACACAGAAGTGGCAGGATCAGGATTCAAACTCACTGAATCTGATTCCACCATCCACCTTTGTTGCTTTTTAACATTGACACGGGCTACTTACCTGATAAGCACATTCCAATTTTTCAAAGAGATAGGATGAAGATATTACTCAGATCATTGAAAGGGGTGGGTAATGAAGCCCTGATTAGGATTGAGTTGTTTAAAAAAGTGAATGCACGATATTGATCAGTATGACTGACTCATCCTTGTTAACTCCAGCATTTGCATTTGTTACTTTTTCACCTTTTGCATCCAAGATCCCCCCTGCACACCTAGATATGGTACATGCTTGATGTGTAATTCACAGTGTGTTGTAGCTATTTGGGTTGTAAATCCAAGTCTGGCATTTTCATATGGGTAAGAGCTATGCTGATTTTTCTAGCTCTTGGTTAAACACCTGAGGCCAATCACACAGGCTTTAGGAAAGACGTGAGGAAGACTCACCTGGGCAGTGTTCACCCTGCAGCCTCCAGGTGTCCACAGACCCCTGTATAGAAAATAACCCCACCCACTTCAGAAACCTTCAAAGCAAAAGGACTCAGACCAGCAGGCCAGGTGGTACCTTTTTCAGACTAAGCTTTTATTTTTTTGATATTACAAACCAGTTTTCTTTATTCACAAACCACTGTAAGTGATATAAACACTAATTTCTAAAGACAGATATACACATTTTCTGGGTTTGCAGATTACATGATGTGTGTAAGAAGTCACTATATGCCACACGTGATATTAATCTTTTTTCCCATAATTCATAATAGCAATAGTTATTTAGATAAATGAAAACATTCCAAATAAATACGGCTTTCTTTTTTTTTTTTTCTTTTTTTTTTTAAACAAAAATCCAAAATGTTCGTTTACATCCAAAATGACTTATTGACATCCTGGAGTGTTCAAAACAAAAGATTCTTGTATCCTTAGTTGGCACCCACTTGTTCTAAATGATTTTTATTAAAACTACATACAGTCATGGGGTGGGGGTGGGGGAGTACAGCTCATGAAAATCAGAACAGCAAATGAAGTTTACTTTTAACCAACACAGTAAGAATTCTATGTTTGTGATTCCAAACACAATGCAAATTTTGGACTTTGAAAGCAGAGGCAGTGGGGAAAAAAACCATTTATTCTCCCTAGCCCCCTCTTCCTACTCGCTTTCTCCCCCATCCTGGGTTGGATGCTATAGCATTTTCATCAATTCAGAACCCTTTCAAAACATCAACCTAGGCATCCATTGTTCTAGAATGGATATTTTCCAGGTAGGAAAATGAGAATGCCTTCAGAGAAACTGTAAAATACCCCGTTACCCTTCTTCTTGGCCTGAATAAGTCTGGTGAAGACAAAACCTTTTGGTTTTATTGTTTTGTTTTCCTGCTTGGGGCGGCTGAGCAGTTTCCCCCCTTTCTCTCTGTACCAGATCGCTAAACTCTGTCTGAAATAGCAAAGCTACAGAAACTTGTGTGTTCGAATCTTATGAAACTTTATTGATGGTTTAATATCCAACAGATCTTAACTGCATGCACATAAGATGATAAAGAAAGCTGGATCACAAACACTTTTTTTTTTGTTGCTTTTTTTCTTTTTTTTTCTTTTTTTAAAGTTTGGTTTTGTTTTTAAAGCGGAGTTTGTTACAGCAGGTTGGCAGCTTAACATCAGTGAGTCTGGTATTCACTGAAGTCCATGCCCTTCCGGCCTGTATCGCACACAGTAGGATTGAACTAGGGCCGCAAAGCTCCTGGGGAGGAGGGGAGTTGGAGGGCTTAAGGGGTTGGGGGGGAACAGCTTGCTGCTGTGGTTTCATTTTATTTTGTTTCTTTTTATTTAAATACAAAAACAGGAAGACCCATGACAGATACCCCAACTTAGATGAACTTGTAAACAGGACAACATGAAAAACAGCTCAAACAGAAGTAAACTACAAACTGCAATTTTTCAGCTGGGTGGCTCTGATCCCCGCATCTGAGAAGAGGGGGGGGAGGGGGCTTTGTCCTTTAGGGACCATAGAGGAGGGGTCTTTTTGTTTGTTTTTTGCTTCCTCGTGACTAACAAAATCAGTTTGGGAAAATCCGTGGATTACAAGGGCACAGGCTCTTTCGGACTGAAAAATTGCAGGTTGTTTACACAAAGCATTCATGTTTCCCAAAGTACCAAGCGGATGAAAAAAACCACAATTATCTCTACCCAATCAATGATTGCAATACTTGTAAAATGCGTCTATAAATCCGAATATGAGCATCCGTGTAAGTCCATAAAAATGATACGTCTGTCTCTAACAGTTGTTGTACTAGGCTAGAACTGAAGCTTATAGAGACTGTTTCTAGAACTTCGAACTCAACAATGCCACTGCACAGATGTAAATTTTATACATTTGTTTTTAACTGGTACAAAGAATTTTAAGTTTTTATTACTTTCTCTTTTTTTTTTTTTGGAAAAAAAGAAAAAAATAGAAACAGTGCTTTTTATCACCTTTTTATTAATGTTATTTGTTATTTTTTTTCCCTCCCATAATATAAAAGTCAGCAATGATATCAATAATTTATTATACTGGAAGAAATATAAAAAGAATGCTTGTCGATGGTCTAACTAGCAGTGTTTGTCTAAATAACTAGTGGGTGGTTAAGAAGCTGAATACTGCCGGGTGGGATGGTTCCAAAGGGTACAGCTGAGGTACACCTTCATTTAAATTCAATGCAAGCGTGCCGCTAGGCACAGTACTCTTAAGAACAGAACCTTTGGCTTGAACCAATGATGAGGAACTTAGAACTCGGATGATCTTAGTAGCAAGAACAGTGGGTCACGGAGATTCATCATAGTTTTTAAAATGTTTGCCAAACCCCAGACCAGTACCTCCCACCCTTTTCCTTTCATAAGCTAAAAGAATGCAGATGCAGGGGAAAATGGACTATGTAAGTTACTTCTTCTCCTCCCAAACAGCTGATAACCCCCATAAGCTTAATATTCAGCATATATAATCAGTCATTTACATGATATAGTGCTCTCTGGATCTGGCCTTAAGCCAGTTTGTATTAGTGCATATCTAGTATGTCTCTAACTCAAACCACCAGAAAAAAAAACAAAACAAAACAAAACTCCTACAGCCAGCAACCAAACTACGGAATCTTCAGAAATAAAAGACCCACGATATTAAAATACACAGAACAAAATATCTGAGGTATAAGATAAAAAATGTAATTTTTTTTCTTTATTTTTTAAATTTTCTTTTCTTTTTTTAGAGTTGCTAAAAGGCTATGCTACTGTAGGAATTGCAATATTCAGGCTTCGGAAAACTTCCTTTCTCCCCACATTGAAAGGTGGTGTTTTTTGTTTGTTTGTTATTTTGTTGGTCATTTAGTATGGAGCAAAACGGTTGTACCCCCCTCGGTATATACTAGCCTGCAATGAAGAAAGAACGAGACCCACGTCATCAGCATGGCTTCTAGTCTTGGCATCAGTCAAGGGTGCAAAACCATTCTGAAACAAAAGCAATTTGAGGGGTGTGTTTTTTACATGTTCCTTTTGCAATACGTGGATCATCAAAAAGACTAATGGCCAAAAACTAAACACAATCTAAACCAAACTGAAAAGGGGGCACCCCCTACCCATCCCGTTCTTGGGGAGCTGACCTTAAGGCCAGTCTTGACCTCCCCCCAGCACATACTACAGCCTTATAAAGAAAATCGTTTTCAAACAGCATTCTGTCTACCATTCCTGATAGTACAAGGGCTGGGATCCACACTGTCTCATTGTGTTTAACACTATGTCCCTTGAAGGAGCTCTGGGGCACAGTGGTGAAACACTCACTCACTAACCAAAAGTTTGGCAATTTGAACGCACCAGATTTCAGCCTTGGAAAGCAGATGTGGTGGTTCTACCCAGCCCTCCAGGGCAGCTGTGAGCTGGAATAGACTTGATGGTAGCAGGTTTGGTTTGGGGTTTACAGACCAATATCTACCCTTCAAGAGGTTGAACTGGAGGACTCATTGGATGTTTTCACTCAACTTTTATTTCCAGCATATTCCTTGAGTGTACAAGCAGAGGTGATGAATACAAAACCATGATAAAAGTTTCAATCTTACGGGGTCGGGGGTGGCACTTCCAAAAATTCATGGAATAATTCTCTTTTCATTCCACAAACTTTTGGAAGTTCCCCTCATCCTTGGCTTGAGCAAGGTAAGCATGGAGCTGGATCTTGAAACAAATGTAGCTGAACTTGTTGTACAAAATAATCTCTTTTCAGATTTCATGGCTGAATCTCGATGACCAAGCGCCAGTGGCTTTCAGTGGCTACAAAGTGGGACTTCTGCTATTGTATTCCCTTCGTCTCAAAGTAGCAGGGATTTCTTCTTCGGGGTAAGGACTGATAGTCTGGGTCTAAGCAGAAAACTGCATGCCAAAAGCTTTGGAATGATTGCATACTCTCTCATGTCAGATGAAAACATCTTACTCAAGAGTCTTAGTGCATAGAAGTTCCGACAAATTACAGGCAGATTCTCCCCCCACCCTCCCCTCCCAAAGCAAAAACCCAGACCTCCCCCCACTCAAAAAAAAAACAAAAAAAACCACCTCAAAACAAAAGATCAAAAGACAACCCCAAACCCAGCTGATTCCTTCTAATTCCTTAGATCGTAGGCACACACACAAAGCATGTCCCCCCTCTCTCCTGAGTGACTACAACTTTCAAGGTGAATTCTAATAGGGGAGGAGAGGCAGGCAGATTCTCAGCTGCCTGACAGCAGAGGTCTGGAAGTATGTGGCTTAGATCCTTTGAAGTCTTTGCTGCTGGAGTTATATGAATGAACAGCAAGGGAGGGAAACAAAAACAGAAAACAAAAAAATTCTGCATTGGCACTGCATTCTGTTAGTGATCGATTCAATTATCAAAATGACTATAATTATTTCATTAAGGTTAGGCTCTGCTAGGTGAGACTTGTCAAAAGTAAGAACCAGAGTAACTCACATGCACGGCATTGCCAAGGAATTACGACATTTATCACGTTTACTGGGGAGAAGTCACATGGCATTTTAGCAGCTGTGGGCACAGGTGGGGAAGTGGAGAGGGTGTCCTGTGTCCACCCAGACAAAGGGCCCGGCTGGGGGAAGGGAGGGTCTGCTGCAGGTAGAGGAGGCATAGTGTACTCACCATGGCACCAACGCTGTAGGTGGGGGCTGGAGCAAGTGTGTGGTGGTAGGGGTCGGCAGCATAAACTCGTCCGTAACTGGAAGGAAGAGAAAGGGCAGACTGAGCCCATCATAAGTCATTACAGAGTAACCATAGCAACCCAAACCCTAACCATAGCATGCCACGAAAGTATGTGGTGGGGGCCCTGTGGTTCTTCAGACACACCTTCTATGTGTTGTAACACAGTATGAAAAAATAAAACATCTAACTTGTATCACACATTTAACATACATAGGCTGGGGTCAGTGCTGTCCAGTGGGTTCTGAGCCATAATGACCCTGTACAGGGTTTCTGAGGAGTGGCTGGTGGGTTTGAACCGACAACCTTGCTGTTAGTAGTCTACTTCCTATGCCATAGCACCACACCAGGACACTAACATAGTAATCCCCAAAGTCAAGAGGCCTTTGTGTCAATTCCTCATAGTGACCCTTTGGAAGAGTAAATTGTTGCTGAAGCTGTCACCTTTATGAGACAGCCTCATTTTCTTCTCCAGCGAGCTGGTGGGGCTCTAAAAGTTAGTGGAGAACTAGGATTGAAAATTTAAAATGACGTTTTTAAAGCCATCTCTTGTAGTAAGGAGCTCTGGTAGCGTAGTGGTTACGAATCGGGCCGCTTAAGGTCAGCGGTTCGAAACTACCAGCCGCTCCGTGGGAGAAAGATGAGGCTTTCTACTCCCGTAAGGATTTACACCCTCGGAAACCCTGTACAGGGTCGCTATGGGTCGGAACCAACTCGACGGCACTTAACAACAACAACTAACTTGTAGTGTACCCTGCTGGTTGCTGCTGTAAGTACCATTGAGTTGGTTCCAACTCATAGCAACCACAGATAGGGTTTCTGAGGGCGGCTGGTGGGCTGGTGGGTTTGAACTGCCAACCTTGTGAGGAGCAGCCCAGTGCTGATCCGACATCGACTGCAGCTCACTGCGACCCTCAAGGAAAGATTATAAGTGTTCTGTAGGGATTCTGAGGTGGTAGATCTTTACAGGAGTAGCTGTTAGGCTTGAACTGCTGACCTTGTGGCGTGTAGTCCAGTGCTTAACCCGCTGTACCACCAGGGCTCCTTTCATACAGTATAATGTGTGTGCATATGTGTCAATAGCTCAATGGCCATGGATGGTACAAAGGTTGGCAGTCACAAACCTCCTAGTGGCATCTTGGCAGAAAGGTCAGTGCCTTTGGAAACCCTGTGGAGCATGTTCTCTGACACACATGGGGGTGATGTGACATAAGTCAAAATTCACTTGGTGGAACTTTGTGAAGCCTCACCTCTATCCCTGTGCTCCCAGACTTGGTGCAGGTAAGGTTCACAGTAAATTCACCACCCATTCAACCCTTGTTCCACGTCCTCTGAATGTAGCTGGAACCTCTGTATGTATGGCCATTTGTATATTCTCTGTAGCGACATTTTCTTGCATATGATATTGTCAGATGATTTCCATGTTCCGTTGGGTCACTTCTCTTTGGAATGGGCACAAATATGGATCTCTTCCAGTCAATTGGCCAGGTAAGCTGTCTTCCAAATTTCTTGGCAAAAATGAGTAAGGGTCTCCAGTGCCGCATCACATTGTTGAAAGATTTTAATTTGTATTTCATCAATTCCTGGTACCTTGTTCTTTGTCAATCACTGCCTTCAGTGCACCTTGGATGTCTTCCTTCAGGATCATTGACTCTTCGTCATATGCTACCTCCTCTTGAAATGAACAGCACCATCTTTCTTTTTGGCACAGTGACTATGTATTGTTTCCATCATCTTTTGATGCTTTCTTCATCCAGCATTTTGTCCATTGAATCCTTCAATATGCAATTTGGTGCTTGAATTTTTTCTTCCATTCCCTCAGCTTGAGAAATCTTTCCTTTTGGTTTCCTAACTCCAGGTCTTTGAGCATGTCTTCTTCTCGAGCTACCCTTTGAAATTTTATTTTGAGCTCTTCAGCCTCCCCAGTTCTTCATTTGCTTTAACCATCTCTATGACCTTTTGCTTTCTTCTTGTATGATGTTCTTGATGTCATCCCACACCCACAACTATTATGATCTTTGGTCATTAGTGTCTGATGCATCATATCTGTTTTTCAGATGATTTAGGTGGGATTCTGTTCCAGGTCATATTTTTGGCTTTCATGGACTTCAATTTACATATGAGTAAATGATGGTTTGTTCCACAGAGGGAACCTGGCTTTGGTTTGGATGATGATATGGAGCTTTTCTATCATCTCTTTCCACAAATGTAGTCGTCTTTTATGTTGTTAAAAATTCTATCATGTGATCTCCACCATCATTTCTATCACCAACGTCAGGTGCCCACTCTTTTCTCAGTGGTAGAATGAACATTGCTACTTGGGAACTGACCGACATTGAGATGCAACCTGGGCTTCCCTGTTCTATCTAGAACCAGAGCCTGAAATGGAGACTCTCACGCCAACTGGTTTAACAAAGTCGGGACCTGAGCAGTAGAGAAATTTGCCTTGTACCAGAGAGCTGCCTCTCCATTTGAAGCAATTGGGCTGCTATTTTTAATTCCCATAGGAGGGGGCTTCAAACGTTGGTGGGAAATTCTCATCTTTGAACTCCTTTTTCCCCACAAACTGTTCGAAGCCCCTTCGTATAAATTGGGCATTAGGTGTGGATTACCTGTTTGCTCGAAGACTTGGGAGTAACTTTCCATTGAGGTTGTTTGTTTTCTTGATTACCAGGTTTTTCTTTCTCATCTGAGGACCGATTCAGCATCCAATCAACAACACACAAGTCTCCACCAACGGGCAGGTATGACTGCACACGATGTGCACTGATCAGGAATTGAACCTGGGTCTCCAACATGGAAGGTGAGAATTCTTCCACTCTACCACCAGTGACTGGCTGGCTTCCTTTGGCTGAGGGCAATTTCCTTTTGTGGAGAAAGGAGAAGTTGTGCACCAGCTAGTACAGAGAATCAAGATGGGTCTCTAATCGTGACTCAAGGACTTCCTTTGTTCACACTGTCAACTTGATGCTCATCTCCCATTCCTTCGGGTTTCATTGGGCTGTCCTTTGTCCCTTCCCTTCAAGTCTTCCATCTCATAACTAATTAGCAGGTGAGCATGAATGTCTGGGACGTGGTGGGGGAGAGGAGGTGAAGGAGTCCATGACTCTGAGTGGAGAACTGTTTGATGTTAGACCAACTTCCCGTTGTTCACACCCTGCCACCATGTCCATTCCAACAGTCTAGAACTGGCACATAGGGTTGTCTAGACTGTCTTGTTTATGGGAGCGGATCATCGGGTGGGTAAGAACAGTCAACCTTTTGGTGATTTACTGTTGTCTCCCCCACTTCACAGAATAATAAGCAAAATAATCCAGATGAGGCTTTCAACATCAACATACAATGTTCTCCTCATTCTCCTCCTCCAATCAGGTGATTTCCTCTGATCAAGCACAAGGGGGATCCAAAAGGATCCTGGAATAACAGATTGAAAAGATAACGGAATTTGTCCACCACATTTTTGAAGCCCTCTCATAGACACCACATTTTTGAAGCCCTCTCATAGACAACTCCCTCTGGCTGTTCATTCCTTGGATACACACCTCAGCTCTTGTGGATTCAACATCAGACTGCTAGCCACAAGGTCAGTACTTCAACCCCAACAATCTTCAAAACCCTCTTTGTTCTAGAGGGTTTACTATGAGCTGCAATCAACTTGAATGACAGTGCATTTTTTAGGAGGAAGAAATTGAATGCCCCAAATCATATGCCCAAGGAAGCCCTGATGGAAACTGAGTTTCTTCTCAATTAGGAGTAGGGGGAATACTCAACAAAGCAGATAGATTGCCAGTTCAAACCCATCCAGAACTGCTTTCCTTGGAAGACAGGTCTGAGGATCTACGGCTATAACACAGTCCCAGTCTTGAAAGCACCCACAGGAGCAGTTCTACTCTACACACATGAAGTTGCCATGAGTCGGAATTGAGTCTACATGGACAAGTACCAACAGCAACTAGAAGTGAGCACTAAGAGGAAACAACGTGCAACGTGTGGACCATGATTTGCATTTCATCAGAATATTGCTTTCTTAGCGAAGCAAGCAAGAGAGAATGCCCTGGCAATACGCAGACATCAAGAGCTGGTATCCTGTCAGAAGATGCTAATTGTTTCGTTTTTAATGTGAGGAAAGGCTTTTCAGTAACAAAAATTCCTTTTTTTTTTTTTTTTGACAAAATGACAGTCTGCATGTGCTTAATGAACACATAACTCTGCTGCAAATGTGGGGGCTTGATATCGCCTAGCAGTCCCTTCAGTCTGTAATAGTAACTCCTCTTTTATAAATGACACTGGGCATAACGCCAACCTTCTAACCTAGATGGGGAACCCGAAGTACCAGAAAAGCGTTGTCATTTTTCCTCTTCTCAGGGTGACCTCTATATTCAAAACCCAATGGTTTCATTATGATTAATAAAAGTCAATTTCACTGACGAAAAGGAACCATGTCAGCTTAACCTGAAAGCAAGAAGCTTTCTTTGCAAATGCTAATTTCTAAACAGTACCTTGAGTGACACCACTGTTTAGACCCATCGTTGTTAGCGAGGATGTGGCCTTGCACCTTGATGTCCTCAGCAGTGGCTAAGCATAGGGACATCAACGGGAACAAGGGACAATGTCTTATGATGTCTGAGTTAGGACTTGACCCCTGCATTGTGTCCTTCCTCTGAACCACCCAGCCCATGGCCCAAGTGAACACAGTAGCAAAATCGTGTCCTGAAACTCTCCATATCTCCCTATTCCACCCGTCTGCAATCTTCCATCCATCTGCAATCCAAGATGAAATTTTATATGGGTCACTTGACATATTTTATCAGGCGTGCTGGTGGGATGCTCTAGGGTAAGCACAGGTGCTCAGGACCACCAGGTCAGATTGAGTAGGAATCAACTCAACGGCACTTAACAAGTATTTTATCAAAAACAAGCTGGAATCTGGTCTCCTTGGTTCTACTCTTGCCCTTCAATCCAACAACCATTTATATATATCTATCAATCCACATATTTCAGGAGGCAGATCTGCTGCAC